AACTATCATTCCCCCCCCCAGGTGTTTTTAGCCACGACCCTACTGACATTTAGGAACCCTCTGAAAACGTGTTTTTTTCAGCAGGCTTGGGGATCCCAGAGAAATGGGGAGATGGTTACACTGTAAGTAGGATGCTGGTCTGTTCTCCCAGAGTTTTATTTTTATTTTATCTTTATTTTTAATTTTAGCTGATTTTAACTGTTTTAATTGTTTTAACTGTTTATTGTATGCTGCCCAGAGTCATGTTTGTGAGATGGGCAGCTATATAAATCTGATAGATAGATGAATAAATGATTAACTGTTGCTGAAACAGCCACTGTTTTTCAATTCGCTGAGTAAGTTGTCAAAACAACATGGAACTGTCTTCTCTAAGGCCAAAACATCTCCCAGATTCATGTCCCCTGAAGTTGTAGATGCTGCGCTGAGAAATTAAATGTGCAGGAACAAGGTGGAAAATATCAGGTTTGGTCATGGTGCTTGTGAAAAAAAAAGAGCTGATTGCAAACAACATATGAGCCCGCAGTATAATGCGGCTGCAAAAAGGGCAAATGCGATTCTAGGCTGCATCAAGAGAAAAGCTGTTTCCAAACCATGGGAAGTAATCACTCCACATTATTCTGCTTTGGCCCCCTCACATCTGGGTCCAGTTCTGGGCAGCCCATTTTAAGAAGGATTCAGACAAGGGCAACCGGGAGGATCAGGAAGCAAAAGTCCCAAGAAGAGAGGCTGAAATTTGTTGGGAAGGTTTGACCTTGAAAAAACACAGTTTGAACAGCCTCCTGAAAGGGGGTCACATCGAAAAAGGCTGAGACCCCAAATACGAGATACAGGAAGGCAGATCCCAACCAAGGGGTCTTTGGCAGAGGAACCCGTGACTGGGACAGCGGGGGGCGGGAGGGCTCTCCTTCCCCGAGGATGCCACCCCATCTGAATGAGATGCTTTTGGGATTCTTGCACTGGGAGGGGGGTCAGACTAGACGGCCTACTCCTAAACTCCCTTTCTTCTGCGCTCCAACTGGAAGTTTCATCTGGGTCGGTCTTGACAGAAGTCCCATGAGGCTCCTGCTGGCATTCAAATATGGCATGGGATCCAGTTGCATTTTCCTCGTTCCTATTCAGGAAAGCCAAGCCGGTTCCCCCTTTTCCCTTTTGCTATTAAAATTGGGGCTGAAGTTTTCTGCGGCTTGATCTGGGCACAGGACGATGTCCTCTCCTTTTGCCTGCAAAATTTACTGTCAACCAGAGCCTTCAGCGCCAAATGCCAGCAAATAAAGACCTCCCAGCTCGTCCTCCCCTCTCACCTCAGCCCTGGGGGGCCTCTGCTGAGCCTGCTGGATTTGGAGCTTTTGGGGGGGGCCCCCGCAGTCCGGACTGTAGCGCTCGCAGTAGTCATAGGCAGCCTGGGCGCTGGAGGAGATCAGCAGCTGCTGGATATCTCCCTGCAGGGAATGGGCACACGGGGGTGAGTTGGCCTCAGACCCACGGCGGGGGAAGGCAGCGGGATGGAGGCGCGGGAGGCTGCTACCTCAAAGATCCCCTCGTCCAGGATCTGGGCCCCAAAGATGGTGACGCCTGCTGTGTCCACCGCCGGCTTGTTCCCCCGAGGCAGCGGCACGGTGGCTTTCTTCTTGCAGTCGAGGACCAGGGTCACCTGCTGCTTGCTGACGCTGAACGCCACCCGATGCCACCTGCCAGAAACGAGGAGGGCCCGGCTCAGCCCCTGCACACGGGAAGGCCGAGCCGTGCGGCCAGAGAAGGCGGCCACAGAGCCCCGCGGGGAGAGCTGGACGGAATGGCGCCTGGCACCCTGCTCTGCCTATCAGTCCTGGCACCAACTTCTCTGCCTTTCTGTGGTGCCAGGTGAAGACCTGGCCCTTCGTGCTCATGTTTGGGACATCAGTCTGTAGCTGCCTCGCCTTGGTTCCTCTCCGTTGGCGTTACGATCAGAAATTGAACTCTTCCTTTTTACTCAGTCTCTCGCTTTTATCTGCCTTGTTTGACAGACTGCAGCCACCCCAAGAGTTTAAACGTAATAAAGAAATAAAAGTTCCTAGGCTGGCATGGAACGAGAGAGAAAAAGTGCAGGAAGGCAGAGTATCTGCAGAAAACCGAAGAGGAAAATGGCAAAGAACCCAGCATTCTGCAGCTTTCACGGCCTCGTCTCCAGTTCTGTTTTGGCAAACTCAGCGGGGGCAGCGAGGCCCTGCCGGGGCCTGAAACCCAACACTCCCTGCAGCTCCGGGAAGGCCCCCTGGCATCTGTGCCGCCTCAAGGCCCAGGAGCATGGAAGGGGAGTCCCAAAGCTACAGGGAGGGGTCCTTGAGGCCAAGCAGTCCACCTCCCGCTCTGTGCCCAAAGCTGAATCAAGCCTCGCAGGCCGACCGCTGCCCACCTTCCGCCTGAACCCGTCTAGCAAAAGGGAGAGGGACACCCCCCCCCGGCCAATATGCAAGACACCGGCACATCTCTGAGCCAGCCAGGGGATCAAGGACGGTGGATTGGCAAGAAAAAGGCCCCACCGCAGAAGACCCCGGATCCTTGGACCCAGGATCATCTCCCCCCCCAACCGTCCCCCCGCTTTTCTCCCGGCCCGCCAGCTGCGATGCCCGCCACCGG